CCCCCGCCCGCCCCCCGGGCCCCCGGGGCCCCGCCGCGTCCCCGGTCCTGCGGGACCCGGCGCTCGCCCTGCCTCCTTTCGCTCCTCCCGGTCTGCCGCCTCCCCGCCGCGCTGCGCTCCCTCCGGTGCCGCTCCCCGGGGGGTGCCCGAGCCTCGGTGGTGGCGCCGGTAACGCGGCGGCGGCGGGGGGCGCCCGGCGGCGCGGCCCCAACTTCGGCGGGGAGACAAACTTCGGGGCCGGCCCTGCTGCCCCCGATGCCCGCGGCACCCGGTGCCCTCCCGGTGCGGTGCTCACCTTGGCGGAGCATCTTGAAGCCGGGGCGGGCGCGGTCTCCCGCCGGCGGCGGCGGCGGCGGCGCTCAGAGCCTCGGGCGCGGCGGCGGCGAGCGGTAGCGGCGGCGGCGGCTGCTGCTGTACCGGGAACGAGGAGCCGGAGCCCGGGCGAGCGGCCCCCGCGGGGGCATGGCGGGCCGAGCCGCAGCGGCACCGGGGAGCGCCGGCCCCGGATCACCGGGGAGCGCCGGCCGCGCCTCTGCCCGCCGCGCGTCCCGCCGCCGGCTTTTAGGGGGGAGCCGCCCCCTCGGGGCTGGGGCCGCCGCCGCCCCCCACCCCCTCGGGCAGAGCCTATAAAGGGGTGCCCGGTGCCGGTGGCGCGCTGCCTGCAGCGGCGGGCAGGGCTGGGCAGGGCGGGGCGGGGCAGCGACGGGGCGGGCAGGGCTGGGCCGGGCCGGGCTGGGCTGGGCGAGCCCCCCCCGGGCCCCCCCTTCCACCGCCGCCGCCGCCGCCTCTCCCGCCTCCCGTGGACAGTTCGTGAAAGTGCCGCTGCTCCCGTTCCCTGCGCCGCCGCCCTCCCTCCGCCCCACCGGGGGGTATGGCCCAGCGCCGCCCCTCCGGGGCTCTGCGGTCCTCCCGAGACCGACTGTCACTCCCGGCCCATCGTTGTCGCCTCTGCCGTCGTGTGCACACGGTGCCCCGTTATCGCACCGAGGCTCCGCCGCGCCGCCCCGTGCCTGCCGTGGTCACGGCTGTCCCCGCTGTCCCGCCTGCCCAGCCCCGTCCCTGCCGCTCCCCGGGGACACGCCGTCCCCTCGGCCCCTTATCGTCCCCTCTGCCCGCCGTGTCGCCGTGTTCTGCCGAGATGCCGCCGTCCGATCCTCCGTCCGTGCTGTCCCAGCCGCCGCCTACGGTGTCCTCCGTCCTTTCTCGTCCCCTCCGCTCCACCGGGTCCCTTCTGCCCCACCAGGGTCACGGATACCCCACCGGGGGCTCTGCTGTCCCCTCTGCCTCCCGCTTCCTGCTGTTCCCTTTGTCTCCCGGTTCCTGCCGTTCCCGCACTCTCCGCCGCGATCCCGGCACTCCACTGCTCCCGAGCTGTCCCCACTGTCCCCAGACCGTCCCTCCTGCCTCCGGAGGGTCCCTCTCGCCTCCTCCCCTGTGCACCACAGGGGGTCCCGTTATCCCACTGGGAACCCAGCTATCCCCACTGCCCCGCCGGGATCGCCGCTTTCCTCGGGGGATTTCCGCTGTCTCCTCGGTCTTCCATCGTCCCCTGGAGGACCCCGGACTGTCTCTCCTGCCTCTCGAGGGTCCCTCTTGCCTCCTTCCCTCTGTCCCACAGCGGGTCCCGTTATCCCAAGGGGAAGGCTGCTGTCCCCAGTGCTCCAAGAGGGTCCCGTTATATCCCGTTACATCCCGTTCCCGGGAGCACTGCTGTCCGTATGGCACCATCGGGAATCCCATTGTCTCCAGGATGTCCCCATTATCCTCGGGTCCCTCTTGCCCCATGCTTCGTAGTGACGTGGCTTCTGTCCCACGAAAGAATCGTGGGGGACACACACACACACACGCACACACACACACACACACACACGGACTCGTTACCATGACAACGTCCCCGGTGCCCCCGCCCCGTCCCTGTGTTAACGTTAGGACAATTAACCCTGGAGCTGTCAGCACCGCGAGGGATACGGCGGGACCACGTCCCCGACATACAGGGCGGACATCCCCGCCATCACAGCGCTTGTCACATCCCGCTGCACTCCCAGTGTCCCTCCGGGACCGTGGCGAGAGCGCTCGGTCCCCGCCGCACCGCCCGTCCCGTCGGGGCCCGCAGGTGCGCTCCCGAGCTCGATCTCTCGGCCGGCGACTGCTCCGGCCTTGCGCGGGGATCGCTTAGTGCTGCCTTCCCGCCTCCACGTGCGCCACAGCCATGGCGGCCCCCGTGCGGCTCGGGAGCGCGGCCCCGGTGCCCGCCAAAGGTGGGCTGGGACCGGCTCAGCGCGGGGCTCCCGGTGCCGCTACCGGGCGCTGTTTTGGTTGCCTCGACGGGGGAGGCCGGGCCGGTGGCGGGAGGTGGCTCCGCCACCGTGCCGGCCACCCCCGCCGCCGGCCCGGCCCAGCTGGCCCTTTGTCGGTTGTCCCGTGGGCCGTGCGGGGAGGGTTTGGTGGCTCGTGAGTGCCGGTGTTGGGCTGGAAATAGTGAATAATCCCCCTGCTGTCACTCCCCCGCTGCACTCTGGCATCGCCGAGATGTAGGGGGGCGGCTGCTGTCGGGGGGCGGCTTCAGGATGAGGCTCCCGGGGATGGATAACCCGGCGCTGGGTGGCTTTTTCCCGGTGGGATAACGGGATCCCCTTGTTGGGAGAACGGGGGTGCGCTAGGATGTCGCCGGGCTGCTGGCCGATGAGCCCTGCGGGGCTGTCCCCTGGGCGTGGGGACAGCCAGCTGCGCTTACAGGGTTTCACAGTTACTGCTAAAAAAGCCTTCTTTGTTTCCCCAAAAAGCGCCAGCGTGAAGGGCAGGACCCCACTCCTTTTTCCTGCTTGTCCCGAGGGGTTTGAGCACAGCCACGCAAGGACTGGCATGAGGCCAGCAGGGCTGCTGGTGGTCCCTGGGGTGCGGGGTGCTGCTCTCTGACGGCTCCTTGGGTCCCCCCTTTGTCCCACAGCCCGAGCGCGACTCGTGGCCCAGCAGATCCCCCAGGAGATCCTCGGGAACGCGGAGCTGCGGGAGGCGGTGGAGGCCCTGCCCCCCAACTACAACTTCGAGATCCCCAAGACCATCTGGCGGATCCGGCAGGCTCAGGCCAGGAAGGGTGAGCGCTGAGCCGGGGGATGAGCGGCTTTGGGGCTGGTTTGTGCTGCTGAGCCCCCCGCGGTGGGACCCCCGTGGGGCAGGGGTGGGGCCGAGCTGCTGCTGTGCCACCGGTGTGTTTAGGCCCTGTCTTGGGGAGCTCTCCTCCTCTCGAGGGAGGTTAATAGATCTGTATCTCTGGATTATAATCACATTGGACAGGACAGGTTGAGCTGCGCGGACCTGTCAGCCTGGAGATGTGTCTGGGATGCCGGCCAGGTCCCTGCTGTGCTCCTTTTGCCTCTCTTCTCTTTCCCTGCACTTTCCTGACACACTGCTGGGGCTGGGAAGGGGGAGCTCCCCAACACCGGGCACAGGGGAGGGCCGGCAGGGAGCTGGGCCGTGCTGCTCTCGGGTCTGAACCTTCCTTAGCAGGCTGTGTCACCCCAGAGGAGCGGGGGATGATTGTGGAGGCTTCAGGAGTGGTGCCAGGGCTTTCCCTGCACAGCCTGTGCATCCCACTGAGCAATATGTGATCAACTACGGGGAGCAGGACACGGAGCCTCCCCCTCCATCCCCGGCTGTCACCAGCGTCCCCAGCCCGACTTCACGTGCAGACAGGGGCTGCTCATGGGGCTGTGTGGCAGAGTCACATTTGAAATGCTTTGTATCCACCTGGGAATGTCTCTGCCTGCTGCCACGGAGCTGGCAGGGCTGGCGGGTGTCACGGGGGATGTTCTGGAAGCTGAGCTGCTGCTGGCTGCGGTGCCTGGAGGGTGTGGGGCTGTCCAGCCCATCCCGGCTGTGCTGTGGGAGTCAGGGCTGGACGTGTCCCCACCAGGACGCGGCGAAGCCGCCCAGCCGTGCTGCTCTGGCTTTCCTCGCTGTGTTTTGCTGCTTGGCACCTCCTAATTAAATGTAAATATGCGGCTGGGATTTAGGCTTCCGAGCTGGGAGCGGAGCCCATCAGCCAGCCAGCCGTGCTGGGATTTAAAAATCCGCGTGTGCACAGACCAGCCAGGGGCTCGTTGCTGGGGGAACGCAGCCTCCCACAGGGCTGCAGCCAGCCCTGCCTGTGCCCTGCCTGCCGGGGGGTTTGGGGGGGTTGGGGAGCACCCCCTTTCTCCATTGTGCTGTGATGGTGGAGAGCGACCCAGCCGCCTCCTGGCACCCCCCTGTTTGCAGATCTGGGGTGGAGGGCAGCCCCAAATGGGCCAAAAGGGTCTCAAATGGGCTGGGGGATGCTGGGACATGGAACCCTCATCCCTGCCAGGTCAGGCAAGCGCTGGTAGAGCACGTGCAACTTTCCTTGGGGCCCTGCAAGTTGGAACAGGGTGGGATCAGCCTGATTTGAGCCAGGCCTTTATGCAGCTCCACACTGGCCAGCAGGCTGGGCCTGGCAGCACAGGGATGGAGGGGAATCTGGAGAGAGTGTTTGGATAGATAGCATGGAAGCTGGGATATCTTAGTGGGATTGGGAGGTGAAACAACAATGGGATTAATGGGGCCTCCTCCATTCGCTTCCTCCATCATGGTCCCTATTCCTCCCCACCACCCCATGGGGGGCTCCTGGCTGGACCCCAGGCACTGGGCAGTCCACTGGCCTTTGGAGGAAGAGGTATTGTTCTGAGCTGTGAGGAGGGAACAAATGAGGAAACATAATTTGTTGTTGAATAAATTCCTGCAAGGCACAATGCTGCGGCTGTTGCTGGCCGCCCTCCTGAAATGGAGAAACTGGGAGGGGGGGTGTGGAGAAGGGCAGTGAAAGATGATCAAGGGTTTGGAGCAGCTTTTGTATAAGGAGAGATTAAATAGATTTAGATCCTTTAGCTGGAAAAGAGGTGAATGAAGTGGGATATGATAGGGATGTAGAATTGTGAATGTTGTGGAGAGGCTGAACAGGGGATAATTATTCGCTCTTTCTTGTACCAGGAGAACCAGGGGCACACGTTTACATTATTAGGAGCAGGTTTAAAATAAACAGAAGAAAGTACCTTTTGCTGTGCAGCACATAATTAAAATCTGGAAGTCATTACTGCGGGAAGCAGGACAGACCAGCAGTGTCAGCGGGTTCAGAGAGGGATGAGGTGTGTGCACAGAGAGAGTGGATATGGCCCAAGGCAGGACAGTCTGCCCCCGAGCTGCCAGAGCCACCCGGATTTTTGGCCAACACCTGGCTAGTTTGGGGAGGATGGTTCGTGGCTGCAGCTTGAGCTGGTCCCCACTTCAGGATGTCCCTTCCAGTCCCTCCTAACCCCGTGGCTGTTTCTCTTCCCAGTGGCCCTGCAGATGCCAGAAGGGCTCCTCATGTTCGCCTGCACCATCGCTGACATCATCGAGCGGTAAGACCGTGGCCTTTCCCTGCGGGTCTGGGGCTGCCGAGGGCATGGGGGCTGTTGCTGGGGATGGGTTGGCCACTGGGCAGGATGAGGCCCAGGGCTATGGATGAGAGGGTGCCATGGCTGCCTTTGTGGGGCCACAACCTTGCTGGGCACAGCTGGGCAGCCCTGAAGCAGGTCACAGGGACCTGCTGCCAGCCCTGGGGACAAGGACCTGCACGGTGCCAGCCCAGCCCTCGCTGCTTGGCTTCTCCTCCCCTCTCCTCTGTGCTAGGAGCTGCTGACAGGCTCAGCATGTCAGGGCCCCTGGGGGGTGCTGGAGCCGGGAGCAGCCGTGTCAACAAGCGGCTGCTGCCAGCCTGGTGCCCGCATGCTCGCCAGGACAGCGGAGCCGCCGCTGCGGCACGGACCCATCCTCCTCTCCCCTCGTCCTGCCCAGCACCGGGATGTGCAGGGGCAGCCTCGCTGTGCCTGGGGAGGCTTGAGGCCACGGTGATGGCGTGGAAGGGGTCACTCCTGCTGGGTGACCCCTTGGCCGCGGCTCCTCTCTTGATTTTTCTGTGCCGCTTGAGAGTCGAGGCTGAGGCACTGGAGAGAGGAGCTGGGCAGTGCAGTGACAGTGGATGCAGGCACCTTGCAGAAATTGGCCGTGATCTCTTTCCTGCTGAGAT